GAACTTAGACGAGAGTGACGTATATCCGGTGTGTCGAACTGTCGCCTTTTTATAGCGTCAACATCGGACTCGATGACCAATTAGTGCTTACTGAACCGTAGCACTATGCAAATGTCATGTGGCGTGATTCCCGGCCGACCAATTAGCCATCACCAGCCGTAACGTTATGCAAATCTGTGATTCCCAAGCCATAGTCTTATGCAAATCATGCCGTGTGGCGTAATTGTCTGCTGACCAATCAGTGGCTGTACTTTCAAACAGCCAATGGCCACTTTCAACCATCTGTCGATGACTGTTACGACTAAAAAAAAACTTCGCTAGGTCTTACTTTCAGGGGAGGTCTTATATTTCGCAATTCAGCAAAATCTGTACTAGGTCTTATTTTCTGCGGATGTCTTATTTTCGGGGAAACACGGTAGGTACTGTAAGTCTAATACAGTACTGTAATTTTATACATTTCTTGTGAAAAAAGCATTTCTTATTCAACGCCCATAAAAATTATTTCTATTAACGATGTCTCCAAAGTTTAGCGAATTTTTCGCAGAAAAATAACTTATTAGAAAACGCGCCCGCCGTTTGGCGCGTTTTCTTTATTAGAAAACGCGCCGTTTTCTAATTATTATCTAAATTTATTAGAAAACGGCGGGCGCGTTTTCTAATAAAGCGGCACACCAAACGGTGTGCCGCTCCGCGACGAAAACAAGGTTAAGCAATGGCGTCGTCGAAGGGTACACACTCGGTAAGTAATCCTACAATTTTTTGTTTATAGCATAGTTTATATGAATTATTCCCAAAAAATTATACGTGTTTTGGAAATGTTGAGTCAAATTAGTCTAGAATCGATTAATTTTATGAAAGAAAATCTTTCAAACAGCCGTAGTCTATAAACTGCACACGTGCAGGCTGTGATTGGCTCATGTATTTAAGGATTCCTACAATGCGAAATTCTTATAAAGTGAACGTATCTACCGCGTTAAAGGGTAGATACGTTCACTGTATATCCTTTTTATAAGAATTATATTTAGTTCATTATTTTGTTAAAGTTTTTGCCAATAGATGGCATACGTGTAAATCAGCAAATCGGATGTAGATGAAAATTAATTGATTTACAGAAATCCAATAGATATTTTGGAGTGTGATTATGACACTGTCTAAGTGAGAAGTATGTGAACTTAACTGCCGAGTTTCGTAGCAATTGGTCAAACGGCTTAGGAGTGTATAGCGAACAAAAAAAAATCCTCATTTATATATATATATATAGATTATTCGACTGAAAATATGAGCTCGAAATTCATTGTAGTTTCAATGAAAAATAACAAATAACCACATTATGAAAGATTACAGAAACCTTTCGTGTGTGCAGTGGCATGCCGTGACATTTGATGATAGGAAAGCTGTGTTTCTGTAAGAAGCCGACATCCAGGGGCAATTAGTCAATTGCGCGTCAGCGATGGTCTAGGGTCCATTCGTATCGTTTATTCGATAACCCAGTAAAAACCGTAGACTTTTCTAAATGTATTTTTAGTATAACAATTACATTCCGAATAATCGCTAGATACGGTATAAGGGCTACAATTGAAAATAAAATAATAAAATCTTACTTGGTGAAATAAAATGTGTGGTGGATGTACCGGTACCTACCTGGTACAAAATATTCTTCAATTGTACGAATATACTTTTAAAGAAAATTATAATTAAATATAGCTTTGTAAAGAAACGTACATAAAAATAACATAAAATATTCTTTACTTTTTAAATCTTAAAACAATGCACTTAGTCAAATATCTCCCTACAAGTGGCTAATGGATGGAATCGAAGACGGTTGTAGAGCGTGCATACTTGCGGACTGCCGAATCCCCAGGGTGCCGATATCGGTCAATGTCAAATACCTCTTTTGTCGCATCACTAGTATATCTCAAAGGAAGCGACAGAGCTGTTGTAGATTTTAAACGTTTCTCACCATAGCTGTAAAAGTCTAAATATGTTAAACTTAATACAGTAGAGCCTCGATTATCCGACTCAATTGGGGACTGGGTTGGTCGGATAATTGAAAAGTCGGATAACCGAAAAGTATGAAAAAATCCATTATTAGTGTAGTATATTATTATATCCCATGTAAGTAGTATATTAGTATATTAGTATATCGCTGTTAACCTACTTCGCGTTGAATTTTCATCGATGTTAAGCCTAACAAAAATTTTTTAAAATAATAATCGTCGCTATTGTATCGTTAAAAATTAGAAAATTAAGCTTCGTTTAAATACTGGCTCCCTTTCATGGTCGAATGAGTGTTGCCAGCTAAAACACGTAAAAATAATATTAAAGTAGCCAAGACATAGCCAAATATTGTAG